AATAACTTTTTATTAAAGCCAGACTTCTTGTCTCAAACAAACTTGATTGTTCTGATGTTATTTTCTGTCTGCTGAGTATGTAATGCCTTTTAGGGGTCAAATGAATACATGGTAAGCAGAACATATTTAAAATTGAAAAAAATTTTACTGTTTAACATGAATATTTGCATAATTTTATAATTCTGTCAGTCTTATGACTTGTTAATTGTTGTGAGTCTTCACAAATTAGGATGTTATGTCACCCAGGACTAAAGTAGCTATTTCACTAAATACCAATGAATTAAGCATTCATATTTTTGGATCACTACTTTGCACTTTTACTTGATTGAAAATATATTCAGTTATTGCTTATATGAGTACAATTTTGGCTTCTCAATTTACCACTGATTAAAACAGTGTTACCAAAACTGTATTTACGATTATTAAATACTCTCCGGGTTAGAGTGTTTTTATGTCTCATTTCACAAAATAAAGCTCATGTATTATATCATGTTAAACAAAGAGTAAAATATTTTAGCCTTGCATAAGATTAATACAAAATAATATATCAAACAGAAATTTCAGGCTTTTGAACCATGCATGTTTGTTTGTATAATCACAATTCACTGTTGGCCATGTTTCTCTTTAGGTCATGCATTATTGCATAATAGCAGTATGGAGTCTGGTCAAGAGTCTGGCATGGAGACGGTCAGTCTGTGGTCTGCAAAAATGTAATGGATGCCCAGGTTGCTTGATAGTGGCCCTTAGCCCATGTGCAGTAGTGTGTATTCATTTTTTATACACTGCCTAAAGCTTCCTTTAGCTATTTGTGAAGCTCTCTATCTTAAAGCATCTTCTCCTTCCATTTAACTTTATTTGATTTTCATGTGCTGTTTTACAATATTCTTCTATTTTCTTCTCAGTGACATTTCCCGATAAGCTATGTAGGGGTGAACGATTTTTACAAAAACCAAAACTGCAATTATTTACAATGAATAGTGCAATTTTATTTTGATTTTCCCTTCCACCAAGCACAAAAATTTAGATGTATAGCTCTTTTTTTTTTAAAATACCTTGAATGCTTGCTTGTTTAGAGTCCATTGTTGCCGGACTTTAGGGTCCTGTCACACCTTGCCGTTTTAGCCAGCGTATGCCTGATGTCCCAGAATCTCCTAAAACGCAGCCATATACTGAACTTGCTATGTATTTTTTCATCTTTGGGCATATACATAGCGTATTCATAACGAGTCCAGAGCGCATGTCCAACAACAAGCCAGTGTCCTGAGGGCTGCAGGGATGAGCCCAGCGACATCCAGTCTGCATAAAAAGATTTATTTGATCGCAGTATTAACCTAGCTGCTGTTTACCGCCTGCTAAAAAAAAAAAAAAAAAAAAAAAAAGTATGAAGAAAAAGAAAGAGAAGGTTTGCCGTCAGCAGATTCAGCATCATGTCTGCTACAAAGTTTGTTGTCGTGGCTGTGGGCATGAACGCAGGGAGGATCCAACACACTCACCTTCTTGCTCTATACAGCGAACTAACGTTCAGCGGTCAGCTGGAACACGTGAGATACGTTGATATGCATTAGAGATAAGTTCTTGATAAGTGACACATAAGTTAATCATAGATTTTGAAAAAGCTAGACACCATGACTTAGAAGTTACTTACACTTAACATATGTCAATTATCAAGTTACTTATGACCCAAGTATGAGCATACATTGGCATACTTGAGTAAACAAAATGACAAATAAAATCTGTCTAAGTCTAAAGATATAATGTCAGAGCAGTGTGCCTTTTAAAAAAAAATATACATTGGAATTATGCATCTGTTAAGTTTAAACACCCAAACACTTATCAATTAACCTGGGGAAGAAAGACAACAGACGTTAGATAATTTTTTCTCCTGAGGAGAACGGTATTAAACCGGTGTTAAAGTCTGTGTGAATTTTAATATCTAATAATAATTTTGCCTTCATGATATCGCACATTAACTGTTGATGTATATTATATGTTTATCTATCCTTCGGACACTGTGGAACAAACGCCCACAGTTGCTTCTCCTTTTCAGTTGAACATCACCCATCCTGCGATACATCACTATTGTTGTCACATGACCAAACAAACACCACGCGATCAGCCCGCTCCCCTCCCCCTCCTGAAACAGAAACAGCAACTACATGGAAATAAATATCAGCTATTAGTATCAGCCCACGTTTGCTTATCGGACGTACACCGATATATTCAAAAATGACCAACATCGCCCAATATCAATCAGTTTTATTACAAACTGATGCAAATGGCCATTTGAAAAGCTTGATAATGAAGAAGTGGTGCAATATAAAAATAAATTTGACACCCCTGATCAATAATATATGACTTCTACTTCCTGAAATGAGTGACAAAAATGTTTAACCTTATCACAAAATACTGGCTTTGCACTGGCAAAGAGTAATGCAAACTGATAAGAGAGTAAGTCATTGACTGAGATTATTAATCTGACTGATGTTTGTTTAGGATAATATATCATGATGAACAACTCCTAAGTAAACACTACTTCAGTAAAACAACAGGAGAGAAAAAGGATTGAAGTAAACAGAACTTAAGTGACCATATAGTTAACAAGGCCTATTTCTGGTTGTACTTAGGGGAGGTCGAAATGGTTTTTTGGTATGTAACAGCAAGGCTTGCAATTTGTGAAATTAAATAGTTTAGACAGGAGAAGGAGCCGAGAAGTATCAACATCCAAATCAGGCACGTGCAGAGGGGGGGGGCTAAGGGGGCTTGAGCACCTGCCCCTTTTGCTCCATGATCCCAATGTGCCCTTTTGGTC